TCTGTCTATCTCACAGTTCAAAGCAAGATAAAAACCAATAAGAACTATAACAATATAAGTGTGAAATGTAAACTAGTCCAATCAATTTGTATCATTTTTATGTCAAAATGATATGTTCCTCCTTTAAGCTTATTGGTAATTTGCTTGTGTGGGGACTGTGTGAGGACAACAAAGGGACCTCAAATAAATACAAGGACAACATGGAAACTCCGCAGAGAAGAAATGATCAGTGAGGTCTGAACCCATGTCCTTCTTGTTGGGAGAAGGCCTTATTAACCACTTCACCCCCAGATACTAAGAATAAAACATAAGAATTTGTGCATCATATATGTTTATTTCATAACATGCTCCACACAGCAGTCTAAGAAAGTGATTCCAGTTTAGGGTTAGAAAACAACAGAACCTCAGTAAAATCTGGGTCACATTCTTCATCCTTTACATGAAACAGTTGGAAACAGGTCAAACTCCTCACAACTTATATGCAAAGTAAAACCTTAGCTTGGACAAGGGGTCACAAGTGAGTCATAAAATAAAAATGTTGGGAACCACTGATTTTGAATTATTCTCAAAAATGACACAACTACCATTGGCACTATCACAAAACAAGAGGGATTTAAGTGACAACTTTGAGGTTTTCCCTAACAAAACTGTTTAAAAAGTGACTGCAATTTGCTGAACAACTGTCTACTATACACATCAGTGGAAATAACAAATAGTTGGAAAATCTGTAAAAACGATTTCAAAAGCGTTTTACTGTAGTTGGCAAAAACCTGCATTTCTGAAAAGTAGAACCCTGACATACCGACTGGGGTCCTCCAGGTGGATGTGGACCAGAGGAGACCCTGGGCACCGCAACCAGTTTCACTCACACTGTAACAAATGGTTACACTAGAAACCACCTAAATATTTAGAATATCGTATTAACTAACTACTAAACGCACACATTTTATGGATAGGAGATGAAGAGATGTAAACAAAATAAGTTTAATCTGCTATTTAAAATACAAAGCAATACATAATCATCCTGCAGAATCTGCTTCCTCGGCCGTCGCAACCTCCTTACGGAACCCCTGCCCCTGCTTCCCCGGATCTAAAATTTACTCTTAGGGCAGAATGTGACCCCGCCCCGCGCAGAGCGGCAGTTCGGGCGCTGCCGATGATAATACCGAACGCACTGAGACTAAGCAGCAGCCTCGGATCAGCAGTAGATTTACTGAGCTGCCGTGGACTGGACGGATTTGGGGGGGAGACTCCGTGCGTAAAGAAAAGAAAAGAAAAGTACATATTTTTAGCTGGTTCCTCTTTAATTGGGAAAAAAAGTTGTATCCGCATAGAAAAGGCGACCTGATACACGCAGAACACATTCGGTGCTGAAGGAAATATTGTACCAGGGACTGGTTGTAAAGAACATCTTGTGTGAGGTGAGTAAATAAGGCAGCGTGCAACAGTGATTGAGTAGGATAGTCGTGTTGGTGTGCTGCGCAAGAGTAAAGTAAAGTAAAGTTGTTGGCTTTGTTGTCAAACTTTCTTATCTCGTTTTTATACATCTAGTAAAAAATGCAGCTAACTTATTTTATAATGTTGACTAATTTTTGCTGAATATCCATAAACTTGTCTGTAGGACTGGAAGATACAAAGCTATGGAGCTGGCATTGCTGCGTTAGAATATGCATTGTCTATGTGATGAATTGGTTATTGTTAGTTTGACTTGTCTGAGTGATTACTCAAGCATAATCTACAGTTGATTCAGCAAAATGCAGTGACATAGTTTTTCAACCAGTTTTGTCTTTTTTTGCTATGAATTCAGCTGTTTCTCCTCAGGAAGTGCTATAGTATGTGGTGTATACAGTTTGTGTGTGTGTGTGTGGTGGGGGTGGGGGGGAGGAGGTAGAGGAACTTGATAATAAGCCATTATCTTCATCCAGCTGTTTCAGTGAATTGGGTTTTTCTGCCTTCCTCTTGTAGCTGACACAGGCACATACAGATACACAGCTGCTCCCGCTTACAAGGTTTCTTGATATATCAGTTCTCTCTGTTGATTCCTGCAGCTGATTTTGTATGACTGAAGTGGATAGGACAGGATGCAAGAAAGAGAAGAAAAGGACAGGTCACAGACAGAGGCAATAGCACCACTTGTTTTATGCTCTTGGTGCTTATATATATGGATCACTTCAGAGTTAAACTGGAAACACCCAGGGTCTGATGTGACCATAAGTAATCCCCACTGGAGCATATGTAAAGGAATCTCCTTCACATCTATGATGAACACTCTCCCTGCACTGATTGTTGTCACATTTAAGACACTTTGGTTAAATGCAAATATGAGGAAAACCACACAGGAATACACGGACACTACAAGCAAGAATTTTTAAATATTATGCACACACATGCTCCCTCCTGTCCTGCACTGGCTAGCATTACCACTTCATGATGTTAAGTTAGTGCTCAGGCATCATGCCACCTCACTGGGGGACCCTATCTCATCCTTGTCAGCATAGCACAGGCAGATGTGGGGGTGGTGGGAGAGAAGGATAGAGAGAGACCTGGGGGAAGATGATGTGATTCTGAAGGCTAATTTTGTTTAATCACGTGGCTTCTTCACAGGATGAGAAGCCCTGAAGGGGCAACATGTGAGACAGTTTCTTTTTTTCTTGCTCTAAACCTCCAGTGACCTCCATTAGTATCAACATCAAATTAACAAATGTGTGAGTCCAAAGTAGAACGCAGTTAGTGGCACAGGCACAGTCACAGCTGCCTCTGAAGGTGCTGAAACATTAAAGACACACCTATTCTTCAAAATGCAGTGGCTTAATTTTCTCATTAGATAAAATGATGCATAAATGCGCTCACAGAGGCACATCTGAGCACTCTTACATAACAAATGAAGGAAAATTCCACATGAAGCAGCATACAGTATAACCCACATTAAACTGATATATAGAGAGAAGGAGCCATTTGAACCATACCTGCAAAATGCCTTTCTGGCCATCTGGGATTGAAATAATGATGAATTTCCATTTCGTTTCGCTGCAGTGATGTCGATGACATTGAGTAGTGGGTGTGATTAAAAAAAAAAATACAAGCAGCATGTTGGCATATTTAATTCATTACCATCCATTATGACGTAACATGGACCCTGAAAGCCTTACACAGCTGAAACCCCACCTCATACTGCTTTTATTAAATGCTACTAGGTTCATATGACAGAAGCCAGGAGGTGTTGTAGCACTGAGTTTCATGTGAAAGCACTATAGGAGCATTAAATTCCTTTGAGGGATCCATGCACCCAAATGAGCTTAACATATTTTTCTTAGTTTTGTTTTTCATCTCCCTGTGTAACCCATTTTGTGTCAGTAGTAAAGTTACATGTCATGCAAGTTGGTGTGTTTTATGTTCTGCTGCAGTTCAGTCTGTGCAGGTTTTTTTCAGATATAGTTTATGGGAGTAATGTTGGTTCTGAGATCCAGTTTTGCTGCTGATTCTCTTCAGCTGTGTCTAACAGCAGGTGGATCAAGGAAGTATTACTGTCAGAATTTCTTGTTTTGCCAGTCCCTTAAAACAGGACAAGAGCACAGCAGGGGAGAGACACACTGTCAGTCATCTCGAAGATTTTAGAAAAAGTGGTCTATACGCAGGTTAAATCATTTTTAGATGACAATAATTTATTGGAGGTTTTTCAGTCTGGTTTTAAATGCATGCATAGTACAGAGTCAGCCTTACTAAAGGTTGTTAATGATATTTATTTGGCCACTGATGCAGGGGAGTATGTGATTCTTGTCCTGCTGGACTTGACTGCCGCCTTTGACATGGTGGACCATGACATTTTGATATCTCGCCTTCGCGACTTAGTGGGCATCCGTGGTGTTGCCCTAGCATGGTTTAATTCATATTTATCGGCTAGATCAGTGTCTGTCGGGCTGGCAGATGTGGAATCTGTCACAACCCCTTTGTTATCTGGGGTTCCACAGGGCTCCATTTTGGGGCCTTTGCTGTTTTCTCTGTATTTACTTCCCCTTGGCTCTATCTTTAGGAAACATGGGGTCTCTTTTCACTGTTATGCTGATGATGTCCAGATTATCATGCCACTGACTAAAAAGGACACTTACTCGATCCAACCGCTTTTAGCATGTCTTGCAGATATTAAGGCCTGGATGTCGTTAAATTGCCTGAAGCTAAATGATGCAAAAACGGAGGTTATAGTATTTGGCCGGAATATGTCTGGCGACCCTCCTCCGGTAGACCTAGGCTTTTTGGGGCAGTATGTGCGATCCGTTGTCAATGATTTAGGTTTTAGAATAGACTCGGATCTGCGAATGGAGAGCCAGATAAATGCTGTTGTAAAATCTGGTTTTTTTTATTTAAGGCAGCTTGTGAAATTAAAGCCCTTTTTGTCGAGGCAGCATTTGGAGACAGTGATCCATGCGTTTGTTACATCACGCATGTTTAGGGTTCGTTTTAAGATTCTTTTATTTGTTTATAAATCTTTAAATGGGCTGGCACCTTCTTATCTGGTGGAACTTTTGCATCCGTATAATCCATCGCGGTGCCTCAGATCAGCAGATCAGCTTCTTCTGGAGGCACCAAGGGCCAGGCGGAAAACTAGGGGGGACAGAGCCTTTGCTGTGATAGGTCCAAACCTATGGAATGCCTTGCCGCTTTATATTAGGCAGGCCCCCTCACTGCCCACTTTTAAGTCTTATTTGAAGACCTATTTTTATTCACTGGCGTTTGATCAGGAATGACACTCTGTCCGTGGTGTTAGTGTTTATAGTATTGTTTATAGCTTTTTATGTGTTGTTTTTATATTTGTATGATATGTTAAGTGCTTTGGTCAGCTGTGCTGTGGTAAAGCGCTATATAAATAAAGTTGAGTTGAGTTGAGTCAGACTCAGCACACACACACTTAGACAAACACAAAGCCTGCCCCTGTATGTCAAACCATATTTAGTAGCTTTGTTGGTTTGCAGTGATCTTTCTTTTGATAATATGTTGTTGCAGTTTTCATTTTCAAAGTCCTTTACTGAGATATTACATCAGATTATTTGCATCTGCTAGAGGTGAGTTTCAAATTGCTGAGCTATCGCTTGGCAATCATCTGTCATGCAGGTCAGAGTGAGTGCACGATAAGATGTCAAACTCCTAAAGTTGACGATAAAATAAGATTGTTGAAAATACTGTCACCATAGAAAAATATGCAAAGCTTAAACAAATGGAAATCAGGTTCACCAGGCTTAATCTGATAAATCTCTCAAAAGAAATGAATAAGGTGCACTCTGACATTTTTAGCTCAGGTTGTTTGGCCACTAACGTTATGTCTAATCGCTAATAGAAAAAACATCTCATTAGATGAGTGATTGCAGCAGAGGCCATCACTTGTGTGCTGATGATAATTACCAGGTCTGTTCTGTACAATCAAACTCAAACATAGTAATTTCTATCCTGAAAAGAAAAATATCTTAAGTCAGAATTGGCTTGGATGATCATGAAACTCTCCTGACACTTCAGTTAGCTGACATTTAAGTCACTTCTGCCTGTCATTGTCAAAGTGTCCTCAGTATCAGCCTGTTGTTACTCCCTTTGACCTCTACAGACTTAAAAATAGTCTAGCCATGAAATGCCCCATGCACACTGCCTGGCTAATATTCTGATTGTGCACAACCTTTTTGCAGTGTGAAGTGATACGTTTTTGTGGAAGCAGGTTACAGGTCAATTAAATTGCTGTTTGATTCTGATAGCTGAGATGGCAGGCAGAGATGGGCTCTGAAAGCTCTTACAGTCTGCAAGATGAGACGGAATCAATGCAAAGTGGAGAAAGTCTGTGTAAAATGGACATTAGTGGGCGGAGCTCTGGTACAGGTCACATTAGAACTGGGAGTGCTGAAGTCTGCCAATTGCTCCAAGCATCCATTAGTAGGCAAATCAAACTGGGTTTTCTCAACGCTGATGAATTTGTTCAGTGCATAGAGAAACTTCTTATAGTTGCTGACATTGCACATTGAAGTCCTTGTTATGTTAGATCCATCCATCCATTTTCCTCCGCTTATCCGGGACCGGGTCGCGGGGGCAGCAGTCTAAGCAAAGATGCCCAGACTTCCCTCTCTCCAGACACTTCC